GTAAGTTTCCGTTTAAGATCGAAAAAAATTAAACAAGAGAAAAAAAGAATTATCCAAATTCGGTGTTTCTCGATTTTATCGGTCATTGATATCCGGTCTCGCGCTAGTATCGCGCGGCGGCGTTCCCGTAATATCAAATCCCGTTGTTGTCACGTCGCGAGGAGGAAGTGGAGTCCCAGGACGTAACACATGTGTAACCATAAGCAAACCATAAGCAAACCATGTTTAACCATAAACGAACCAGAAACGAACCACGTTCAACCATAAGCAAATCACGAATAAACCATGTTTAATCATAATCAAACTATAAACAAACCACGTTCAACCAGAAACGAACCATGGTTAACCATAATCAAACCATAAATAAACCATGATTAACTATGAAACCACGTTAAACCGCGACTACTAACGTTAATTTATATAAACATGCTATGGAAAAGGGTAGTAAATGTACAACTAAAGTTGTTGCATATAACATTTTATTGTCGTTTAGACCAAGTGTGTGTGTAAATATTTTAAATACATTTTGTAATGCGCAGTGTTTCACATGTTTTTCACATCATAGACAGTTCGATACGATATCATTTTCTTTAAAACCGTAATATCGTCGTAATCTGCATCCAATATTTTGATAATTAATCCATGTTGTACGTCAGTATCAAGATTATCAGCTAGCCAGTCACGTTTCTCGACCTTTAACCTTTTCGCTCCGGGACTGGTCCATATATGGACCAGCAAGAAAAGCGAACGTAATAGATGTTTATAAGGTCAATTTAATGCACTAAATTTAGGAAAAAAATTGAAAAAAATCCTGGTTACTTCTTTGACCTTCAAAATTAACTTTGAAGGCGGGGGGGGGTAGCAGGTTATTATTAATTTTTTCAGCTAAAATGCGAGGTCAATTTTAAAGGAAAAATCTCCGGAGCGAAAAGGTTAACATAAACGAGATGAGACGCGTTGTTATCAGTTTCTACTATGTTACAAATAGCTGTTGTAATCACATTCTTTTCTCTGCGATATGCAACATTTCCATCCTCCTTTTTGGTTGATGACGCAGCCCGTGATGATGCGTCATCAACCAAAAAGCTGCTGACCTGTCTGATCTTGCGAGTAGATTCCACGGGAAGAAGCTTTCAAAAATGTAATGCGAGAGAACAATACCTTTTTGCAATATCGCCACTTCTTTAACAATAAATCTTTTCTCGACGACAAATCCTTGCAGGTCCACAAACGTCGGCACATCTATGATGATTATGTAATTGTGACCGATAAAAGACGACTGCTGTCTATTGGTACATACTTTGGTTCTTAAACGATTTTCAGATTATGGAAGGGAGAAGTGCTGATGTTGCAATTTAAATAATTTTCCGCACTATATTAGTTAACGGATTATATTCAATTACGATCGTGCAAAATGAGACAATAGGCCGTAGTATTTGCCGGTATATTTTCTCTGCAATCGAATTCAATTCGCACATCAACGGTTGCATTTTTGACAGCCTCATTTTGACGTGAGCAATCAATGACCACTAAAGGACCACATTGCAGAAAATTATAAATTGTGAGAAACGGTACGACAACACCACATCCGTAGTACGTTTTACGGAAATGTGTGTACATGTCGTACAAAACCGCGTATTTTTTTAAATCAAAATCTAAATACAAGTCATTATAAAAGTAGAATTCAGAGTTCAGATAAAGTTTTACGTTGGTCAACTGACAGTGATTGAATCGTGTGATATCTACAGACATATCGTTTCTTCGACCAGTCTGTAACGCAAATATGACGTATCTCGGTTTCTCAAGTTGTAATACCGTTTTTACAGCTCACGAATGTTTAGTAGTGCTTTGTAATAATGGAAACTCGTAAAGATCCCATGAGCGGAAACTCATGATCAAATACCGTCCGCTTTCCACAGTTTGTAGCAGCGAGAGCTTTGTGACATCGTTCAACACTATATGTGGCATTCGTCATTGCACTTTGAATAATTCAATGTTTCCATTCAATGCTTCACGATCTACCTCAGAAACTGCTGTTATGCAGTTTTTGTCGTTGCGCGATCCTATTAAAATTAATTCATGACGTACATTGATAACCGTACGCTTGTAGTACTCGCAGAATCCGAATAACATGTTAAATAGTACACAGAAACTAAAGTAACTACCTACGTCTGTGTATGATGAGTAATATCTCATCCGGCATTCTTCATGGCCATGCTTTTATCGTCGACCGTCTGCGATTGTTAGATGCATCCCGTCAGGCGGGCAATAATGCTCACGACAAAATTTTGTTTATCGTCGAAGAACTGCGCGAAGCGGAGCTCATTATAAATTAAATAGCGTGTCGGCGTTAGAGTCAGTCGTGTGCGCGTCATCATGCCAATCAACAAATTTGGGATATTGCTCGGAACACGTGGAGCGTCGATGTATTATGAGAAAGAGTCAATACTGCAAAATCACGTGCGTAATAACGCTCTCTACTTGTCGGTTCCGGCTACGATGTAAAGTCGCGTAAGATACTGCATATAGCGCAACCTGATACCGACACTGATGCCGCCAACAAACGATATGTAGATGGTGCTGGCGCACCCACTCACCTCCGTCACAGAAGCTCGTCTCCAATGTCCGAACTCGTACGCGAGAAGTCGCCGATCCTCCAGGGCAAAACGCGATTAGTAAAGATTATGTCGTAAAAGAACTGTTTATTTTTATATTAAACTAAATATTGTAAACGGCTGCGAGCACCTCACCGGTCTCAGCGAGGGATCCACAGATGGACAAAGTCCAGAGGAGATCCGGAAAGAAAAAGAGACGAGCAAAATCGCAGCCGAAATCTACAGAAAAGGAAGCTGTAAAGAGCGCAGAGAACAAAGGGGCGCGCGCAAAAGGAAAAGCAGCGAGAATCAACAAAAATTCGGTTAAAGTTAAAACCAAAAAAAAAAACCAAGAAGGTTACCGAGAAGGCCATCAACATCAACAAGATTCCCGTCAACCATTACAACGACGGTTGAGCGGACCTGACCTTGGCGAAGGCCGTTGAGGCCTCTTGAATTTTAAAATCACAAGAGGGTCAAGACACGTGAATTTTGCATCAGCGGAAAAGTCAAAACCTGATAGACGGATTTTCCCCCGCCACCCTGAGCTTCTCGCGCAGGAAGTCAGTAATCAGGTATAAAACATGCCCGCGTTGCGATCGAGCGAAGCTTGGCAGAAAACGCGGAAATTAGATAGAATCGTATCCGATCAGAATCGTAGTCGATAAATAACACGGATTCGGTATCGTACGCGATCGTGCTCGTAGAATAGAGAGCGAGGTGTGAATGCAAGTGCAAGCGAGAGCGCCAGCGATAGCGAGAAGGAGGGCCCGAGACGAGAGAGAGAGAGAGAGAGAGAGAGAGAGAGAGAGAGAGCGAGTGCAAGCGAGAGAGGCGAGCGGACGAGTCGAAGGACGTCAGAAGCTGAACGGATAGAGCCGCGCCGGTGAGCGATCGGTTTGGAGCCGCCTTTTCTTTTTAATTATTTGCCTCATATTTCGTGTCGCCACCTTATATATTCGCCCGCCTGGAAAACACTGTCGCGCTGACAGTATCACGAAGGGCTGAGGCAATTCGGTCCATCGTCGTCCTTACGCGTTGATAAGGAGACGTGGGTGCAGCGAGCAGCTGTCGTCCAGCGGCGGTAATAAAGTCTCGTGGGCAAGAGAATCCGCTGGCTCCGCCTTAAAGAGTTCGCTCAGTACTCCACTTGCCCTGGAAACGCGTTTCGCGGATAGTGCTATAACAGATTACGTGTGACAGATCCCGCGAGCCGCGACGTTCTGTGAAGCATTGTACGAAAGCCATCGGATCGCGCGGGTGGGTTGTCGAATCAGGTCACAGAATAAGAGCTATCGAACGGCGTTAACAGTAGGTGCTATCGAATCGTGTCGGTGATAAGAGTTATCGGATCAATTAGATTGATTGGTGAAGACTTCCGCAATTTTCTCGGGGTTGTTCGAATCGCTATCGTGCGTGACTGATCGTGAGAAATACAAAATTCTTTCTACGCAATTGTAAACAGCTGATCCGGCAAGCGAGACTTAATCCGGTCGTTGACCCGGCCTGCCGAACCGCATAAACACCTGCCAATCGCGCCGTTCACGCGACTTCGGAATTTGTCCGAAAAACAAGTCCTCGTGCAACGTATCCCAAACTCGCAATAAACGCAGCGAAATTTGGAGAATTTAGTCTGGCGTATCGAGACTTATTGTTGAGCTCGCATTCCATTCTCCGAGAAACCGTTTTCCGTCCACGACGGACTCGATCATTATACGATCCTCTCTTTGTTTGTTATTCTTTTTTTTTTATTATATTTTGACCTATAGGCACAAGAACAAATCTGTTATCTATTATTATTTTTTTAACTTACGTTCCGCGTTCTTTATTTCGAATTCCCGCGATCTATCCTTTTCGTTACCTAACACCCCGCCCCTCTCTGTTCGGATTAAAAAGAGCTAGTCGGCCTGAATTCCGACGACGGGACATCTCAATAATTAGTACGCGTGCCTGGCGCCCGAATCTACATCAATAGAAAATCAGACTATCCCGGGAATTCAGGATACTTCCGGGCTTGACCGGCCGGTGACTTTGGATACGTCAAGGACGAGCCGTTTTTCTTATCGCAGCCTTTACGCGGAAAAAGTGTTGCAGTAGATATGTGTGTCACGAGTGTGAATGGCAAGAGACACGTAAGAGAAAAATTATCGCATTGCAGCAGGACGTGCAAGCGTTGCGCGACGCGATAAAACACATTCAGCGTACAATTCAATATCTATCAAACCAGAATAAAACGACTGACACGCCAGAGTAAACATATAGTAAGACAACTATGGCGACAAATCATGCTACAATCGAAAAACGACGTCTCGTAAAAGAATTGCATGCTCCGGCAAGAAGAAAGTTTCCCGTAGACGCGTTATTGTACGCGGGTACGATGATTTATGGCAAGCGGATGTGGTAGAAATGCTTCCGTATTCGCGCTTCAGAGGCTACCACTACATACTTACGGTCATCGATGTGCTGAGTAAGTACGCGTGGGCCATACCGCTTAAGAGTAAGAGTGGATGCAAAGTCGCCAAAGCTTTTGCAGGAATATTTTGGGATAACAAACGATGTCCAAACAATTTATAAACTGACTGTGGAAAGAAATTCTACAATATAGATGTACAAACACTGATGAAAAAGCATACCATTAATCACTATTCCACATATTCTGTTATGAAGGCTTCAATTGTAAAACGATTTAAACGTACGTTGAAGAACGACATGTGGAAACAATTTACACTTAACGGAACCTACAAATGGATCGACATATTCCCGCATCTTCTTATGGAGTACAACGCGAGAAAACATCGAACTATCGGTATGCGATCTATCAATGTTACCCCAGCAATCGCCGATAAGCTCTTAACCACGGTGTACAGCAATGTCAAGATCGCAGGGTCAGCACGATTCGAAGTTGATGATCCGGTACGTGTGAGCAAATTAAAATAGTATTCGATAAAGCATATACGCTAAATTGACGACCGAAGTATTTAATATCAGTAAAATACAAACGACCTATCCTGTGACGTATCTGCTTGAAGATTCACGCGGACAATCTGTTGCTGGAGGATTCTACGAATACAAACTGCATCGCGTTGCACATCCAGACGTTGATCTCGTGGAGAAAGTATTACGCAAGAAAGGTTTATGTGAAGTGGCTAAGATTAGACAAGTCATACAACTCTTGGATAGATAAAACTAATGTCTTGTAAACACACTATATACAGAATTTATATTTATATAAATTACAACATATATGTACATAATTATTGTTATTACACATATTAAATAACAATATACATATAAGGTTTGTTCTACTTGCATATACAAAAAGTGTAATGTATTAAAAGTGTACAGTGTACACCTTACACTTTTAATACATTACACTTTTTGGGAGTGGGGAAAACATCGTGTAAAGTGTACGCTTTTCAAGAAGAACGCCAGACTGTAACGAAAGTGAACTACAGCCATTTGTGCATGGTGTTTGTTTTGGAGTTTTCTTTATTATCTAGTGTACATTTGATGGGTGGACCATTAAGATCTATTTCTGTTGAGTGTATTTTAAAAGTTAGCCTACCTATAATTAATAACATATAATTAATAAATAATAACAGTAATAATTTAATATGTATAATAATAATATAAAACACATAAAACACATATAAAAACTACAAATGTATACATACTGTCAGTTTAACATGTAATGTAGTCTTCTTCGCCTATAAAAGATGATATTTTACATATATATAATAAGATATATGTTAAAATATATGTTAAATTCATTAATATGACATTCTTTAAATATAGTATTAAATTATATGTTAAATTAGTATTAAAAACTATTTTTTTTGTGTAGTAATTATAATTTTGTTACTTGCATTTCGGTAGATAGTTGACAGTAACCAGATAAATTGTAAAAAATTATTGGGATACAATGTGAATCTTTATAATGTAAGTTGCAGTTGGAGTGTGCGAGACCTCTGTACCGACCGGTTATATGACAATGATCGCAAACTTGTATATCATTTGCTGCGAATGATTTTACGCACACGTGATTCGCGTTACGATAAATTGATTTTTGTTCTTCCGGTAACGTTTCCATGGGCACATTGGTAGATAAAATTGTTTTTACTTGATTGGCCAATTCTTTGAGTTTATCGACGAACCATGCGATACAATTTTTGCCGCGATACCGATAAGCAGAGAAAGAGTAGTTGTATGAGCAGCAAACAGAATATCTTATGCTAAACGCCTTATGATACGCATGTATCATACGGCGTGTATACGCAATGATGTTTACTGCGTTTCTCCATCAGTTTTGTGTAATACGCTCTCAAGGTTAGCGTATACTACGAATGAGAAGTGTTCCTTCCTACCGTGGTTGCTAAAACTGAGCCACTTATTCTCCTCTATCGACAATCGAATCACGCAGTTGTTTAGTTTTCCGCAATCTATGTTGTGAACATTCAACTTGTCCAGAGAGTGAAAGTAGTGTAAACATCTGCAAATATACACGGTGAGTCATCTGAATCTATCACCTCCAATAACTCGTTTGTGTGGCCAGGAATCGAAAAAAGTTTTATATAAAAGTTGTAGAGTTTCGAGGGGAAACCAAAATGGCGTACCTTTCAACTTTTGATTTTGACCGAAAGTGGGTTACTTCAACCGGAAGTGGTTTTTTTAAAATGGAAACCTCCCTTTTTGACACCGGAAAATGAAAAAGCGGAAAATTTTACGTTCAGATATAACCTTGGCT